GGTTTTGAAAACCCCCAAGGATGGATCTTCCACCACCTCTCTGGATAACCTGATCCATTGTTTTACTACCCTTGGTCCTCAAAGATTTCATTTTTACTCTACCTTCTTGAAAGAGGAGGCAGAGCCAATAGAAGCAATGTAGGTAAAGCCACAATATGGGGATGGAGAAATAACCCATCCAAAGCAAAAAAAAAAAAGAGAGAACTCACCAACAAAAACAAGATCCTATGCAGCCATCTCCTCTGAGGATTTGCCATAAAAGTAAATAGTAGATGAGGATACAACTTATTCAGTTTGTTCCCCTATAAGAACACATTACAAGCGTGTTTCCAAGAAGAAATAATAGACCCATACTCAAACTTGTGGGGTCATTATGAAAAGTACTTAATATACAACCACACAATTAGAATCCCTATGCTGTATATATTATGAAGAATTACCATTAAAAAAAATTACAGACCTTGTGTAACTCCACAGGAGTTGGTGACATGATTTCTTTCATTTCTTGTTTAATTTTTCTCAGAACCACAGACTTTCTGCCCACATCTGATGGCAGGGTGTTGCTGCGGGTCGTCTGGCTGTAATGTGGCCTTGTGGTGCTTCTTTCCTGAAAACTGGCTTGTCTTCCCAAGTGGCTGCGAGGCTGTGGGTTTTCATGATTCAAACTCATTGTACTTCCTGACATAATGGTGGCCTACAGCGGTAACAAACAGGTTTATTTTTTTAATGTATAATTTGTATTAAAGAAGGCTAAATTCTCTGTTCTATTTTCAAAACACAGTCACTTCAGGGTACAGCAAAAGGCAAGAGGACAGACATGAAATCTCCTTGTGAAGCCACTAAAAAAAGCTCTTTGGCAAAAGGTTTCCCTATGGAATGTGCCATTAACATGTCCAAGGAAGCTTTAATACCATGAAGCTGATTACAGCTTGAAGCCTGTGCAATGCAATCATTTATTTACACTCAAAATATGTTTAAAATAAAATGAAAGTTAAATTCTGGAGCCCTACTTTCATTAAATGACAAAACACTTGTAATAGCTTCTATCGTGCTCCCTGGTGAAACTACAGCAGCAGGTGGATTTGATAAATCTTTACTGTTTGGCTGAAGATCTTGAAATAAATAAGAAGGAAGTCTTAACCAAATAAGCAAGGTCAGTACTTTAAAACAAGTGGAAGTATGCTCAGGGAAGGATCCAGGGGTGGGTGCAGTGGTGCTGTTGTACCCCTCCCCCCCACACTAATTCCTGTTCCACCCACACTTTAAAATCTACTGCCTAGCGAGGGCAGCAGCATTTCTATTCAGGGAGTACTGTGGGAGTCGACTGACTTAATGATTCATTAGAATTGACTTGATTCCTGCTAGTTTCTCTTCATTCCATAGGTGTTAATGACTCTCCCCTTTTTAATGGTCTTGATGTTCCACTATTCAAACTACCTTTTCTTCTGCAATTTTGCTGTCTGCTAGCCGTTCATAGTAATTCCTCTCTTCGATTTCAGAGCCCTGAAGACTGTTTTTAGCTCTAGCTAAAAACCTTAACAGAGGTGTAGTAATATCTCAGATGACTGACAGTAAAGTATTGGAGGTACTGTCAAGACACTCAAGACTGGACTTCATTTTACGAGTTTGATTAAGAGATGTACATTTAACTATAACGACTACAGGACTAATGAAACACTATCTTTTGATTACTTTGACCATTTTTTGCCTAGTTTCTTGTGTTTTTTAATGTTTATATATAATCAAGCAACCTAGTGCACATTCCAATAAAGACGTATTTATTTCGCTTTGATTTTAAACTGTGCTAGATCCTGGCTTATTAGTAAAGATCCTGGTTTCTCTTTAACTGGAGAAAAATGTGTTGTGTTTGATGATGTGCTACACAATCTGCTCCAGCCATTTTAAAATCCTAGATCTATCCATGAGCATGGCTAAACTTAGCTTTTCAAAAATCTTAAAGTTTCAAAAATCACACCACATAACCTACTGGGAATCCTAGTTCTATAATGTGACTTCTGGATGGATGATGTTTGTTCAGAGCTATGCAACTCAATACTGAGGTTGGTAAAGCAGAAGTACTCAATTGCAATTCCAAGTTTTAATTTCTATACCACATAACTGATATTTAAATTACAGAAATCTTAACTTGCTGAAATATCCTTTCTTGTTATCTATTTCCACACCATTTTGCTGTGCCCTGAATAATGAAAACCATAAGTGGTACCATGCCAGAGATAACTACAAAATTAAACCAAACTGACATTAAGTATTTCCCTTAAATTTTTTGTCTTGCAATTACAAGTACATAATAACCATACATGCAATACAGAAGCCATAAATCTGAGGATGTACAATCAATTTAAACTGCAGAAATTTCACCCAGTTATGCCATTCACATTCCTTGTGGTTGCTAAGGGACTTTACATAACATAAAAATGAAAATGAGATTCTGCCAGTTCTGCAGCTCAGGGAATTTAAAAGAACATAAAAGAAAATATTTTAGGACTTTCCATTCCACAGCTTTAAAAGCGTCAGTATATTCTTAATTGTTCTGGTTAAACAAGTTACAGAAAATGTAATTAGACAAAAAAAAATGCAGTTACTGTGCTCATCCCCACCCGACCTTTACATGGAACAACATTGAAATGGAATTCATATCTGCCATTTACTCTAGGGCATAATGTAAAAATTCAGTGTGCATGCGTGTGTGTGTATCTATGCTCTGAATGTTTCTCAAGCTGTTATATTTGTTTACCAAGTGATAAGGCTCTTGTAAAAATGTTTTAGGTGACATTTTTCTTTTATGTTCGCCTTAATCAAATTAAGTTCTATTCCACATACAAATTACAACATGCGAAGAAAAACTTCACAAAGCAGCCAGAAGAGAATGGGATGCACTGCTGCTGGAAAATGATGCCCACGTAAAAATTCTGCACCAATTGCTGCATGTGCAGGCAGTGTTAGCAGTGCACACAGCAGAAGCTGCAAATCAGGAAGCTTTGGGGTGAACATGTTTCTAGAATTTCAGCTGCATTGTATGCAAGAAAATAGCTTTATTAAGGGTGGGGGAAGCAGCTGCACAAGCAAAAATATAAACATAAAGGTTAGGTACCAAGAGAGTCATGTTTCTCAAATACAGACGCCTGTCAGCCTTGTCCTGTGGAAAGGGGTTAAAGCTTTTAAATGAAGTTGTGTGATTAATGCGAACTAAAAATATACAGCAGAAAAGAACATAAAATGAATGTAAAACAAACAAAAATATTATCTCTATATAGTAGGATGAATGGGTTAAGATTGTGCTACCTCTAGCTCCCTCAATATGCCTGACTGGCCACAGGTCTCTAAATCCTCCAGAGCCTGAGACCAGAAATTTTCCTCCTGGTCAGTCTCGGTGTTATCATGGGTACCTGCAAAGCTAGATTCACAAAGAGAGGTTCAGTCAAATGTACAAACAATGTAAAGGCTTCATTTTGAAAAGTACCATTCAAACAAGCATCTTGCCACACATTGGAGCTGCAGTAATAGACTGTTGCAATAAGAAGAGGACAGACTGGGGAGGGGTGGGGGGTCACAAACCAGCAGCTGGTGGGATGGTCTGTGTGGGTGAGAGTCACCCTCACATACTGGCAACTGTTAGCATGTGACTGGGTAAGGAAGAGGTATATTTTGAGCAAAGGAAAGGGCTTAAGAACAATTTATATGCATTTCATTCTGCAATAACTGGGACCTCTCAATGAAAATTAGTGAACCAGACAGAATTACAGTTCATAGCTTATCAGTGCAATGCTATATTTATAATTAGACTTTCCCACCTCACAAACTTCCCTGGTGGTGTATAAAAGTAGCTCTCACCTTTGTAAATAACATCTTGCAAACGTATCTACTCCAATCCTGATGCTTTCAGCTGAGTCCTTCATTCTTGGCTATATTTATCATAATTAATATAACCCCGTCCCAGCCTCTATCACAACAACTATTGCAATTACTATATCTATGGGCAGCAGGATATATAGGCTCTTGAATGTTTACAACTCTATTTCACTGAGAAGTAGGCACCAATTCAACAAAGTGCTCAAGTATCTACTTAAAGTCCATTTCTAGGCCATTCTTGTTGTTGTTGATTTATTCTTCGCCGTTTCATAAAAGTGCTGAAGCCTTATCACCAGCTCTCTCCTGCAAGAATTGGCTGAGTGATACATAGAATTGGTCAGCAAGAGTTTGGATAAAACCTGCCAATTATTGACTGCAGAAACACAATGCAGAGCTACAGTGCCACAGCATTTTATTGGGCTATCAGCATGCAAGATAGCAAAGGCACTCAGATGAAGAATAATTTACACTGCATTTGGAAGTGTCCAGCAGTCTACATACATAGGGAGCACCATTATGGAGACATTTCAGGACTTTCTTGATAAATGGTGTTTTGCCTACGATACTGCTAATGGGGTACTCTGTTAACATAATAGCTTCTAATGTCAAAGGCATTACCGCTTGAACACTTCACACACGACAGCTTTGCACCAAGAATGCTCTCTCACAATTACTATCAGTTAGGCAGACAGTGGTTGGCCTTTTCAGGCAAACCAGCCTCCCATCGCAATGTTTTTTTATAGCTCCAGTGTTTCTTCTAAAGTACTGTTCAGCAATGATGAGGATATCTACTCAGATCACTGAGACAGACTCCTCCCCATGATGTTAACATGATGTTTTAGAGAGGTCTTTGACCTCTGAAGTTGCAGGAATTCTGAGAAAATTCCTTTTAGGGTTGGTGCCAACTCTGCATAGTCAAAGAAGTCCAATATAGTATCTTACTATTACAATACAGTATGCTAATATTGAACTATCACATATAATGGAGCTCGGTAAGTGTAGGAATAGGGTTACATGTGGGGGTTGTCTTTGATAACAGGAGAAAACTATGTAGCTGGGATAGAGATAGACAAGCTTTTGAATGGAAGACATTCTTCCTTGCTTCTCATATAACTTCTGGACCATCACAACAACAGCACTATTACACTGCCATAAGAGGGGACTGCATTTAGTGAGCCAGATGGGCCAGCCTAGTCTTATGTAATCCCTGTAGAATGTATTAATATGCCAGTGTGAGAATCTCAGTCTTTTTTTTCCTTTAATCTCTTGCTTGCCCCTGTAGCTGAAAGCTTCCTGATCTCTGGGTCCAACTAGGGCTGTGTAGAAAAAAACTGGACTTGTTTGAATTGAAAAATACATTTAAAATAGTTTTGCTCAAACCCAGCTTTTCAGTTTTTCTTGCTGAAACAAACCACTAATAATTTTTGTTCCATTTTTAAGAAAAATGTCCTGGTTAAACCCAAAGCACGATGTTTTATTTTCTGGTATTTGTAATAAAAGCAGGTGAAGGACTAGAATTTCCAAACTGCTGAAGAAGGGGTGGTGATGCTGGTGTTTCTCTGGTATTCCATGCAAAGTGAAACAGCTCCAACAGAAAAGATAATGAGGACCCACCTCAGTTTGCCGTATAGTGGGGAATTATGAAAATTTCTGGGAGGTCCTTGGAGTCAAATCCCCACAGTAAGAGGACAGAAATGAACCTATTTCTGCTACAATCCCACTGAGTGCCTAAACCCCAGATTACTAAATAAAAGGGGACAAGAGCATCAGTCTGGTGAATCTTACTCTGAAAACTTTTTTCCTCCTAATTATAAGGTACTTGGTAAATTTCATTAAAATCAGGAAGTTTTCAAATGACATTAGTCACTATTTGCTTACACCAGTCTCAATGCCATTCCTTGGAGCATCTCATGAATCTTGCCTATTTTCTTCCCATTTTTCTCTCTCTCTTGGCTGTTCTGTCTTCTTTCTTTTTACGCTGATTCTCATATAAATTGCTTTTCTCCTTTTTTTCTCTCTTAGTGAGTTTGTGTGCACTCTTGGTTTTGTTCTCTGGATTGTTCTGCTTTTTCCATTCCCTCTCCTTTCTTTAGTTCTGTCCTTCTCATTCCACATTTCTACCTCTTGGCCCTGGGTTTTCCACTCCACTGCTGTTTGCTCTGACCGATTTCTTTGATTCTTCCCGAACACTCCCATGTCTTTCTGATGCTGTGTGTTCTCTCTCCTCTCTGCAGCTATACTATACAGTTCAAAGGAAGTAGCATGTTGGGGGAAAGTATTTCTTAGTGTTACCCAGAGGAAGGACAGAGAACTTTAGCAGAAGGCCACGGTGGCCCCAGAATTCTCCTGAAAAATGGAAGAGTGAGCATGTCTGTTAGCAGGACCAGCACACCGTTTTGTCAGTAGAAGTATAATCCATTTTCTAGATACTGTCTTCAAACAAGCCTTATTTTACTTACTTTAAATTGTGTCTCACGTCTTAGGATTTTTACACTGATAAGGAGGAAATTGTTCCAGGCAGCACACTGTTATTGATCTTTACTCTTAAAGCAGTGGTTGAATAAATGATGTTTATTTTAAACAAATTATAAACCTTATTACCAGATTCCTAGTTCATATCTGATTCAATTTTTCAGCCTATTATTTAACTAATCCCCAAACAGCGTGTTTATCAGAGTCATGATTGCATCTCGTCTTGAGTTTGAATCGAGGGTAAAAGTGCTCCTCTTGTTAAAACAAAGCCATTAATTTAATAACAATGGGAGGAGAATAAAAGGGAAGGGTAGTTTTCTTTATTACTTGTTTTCAGGCCAAGCAAACCGTGTTCAAGAAGCCAGGACTTCTCTTTATACCAAGTCACTGGGCTGCTGCCTTAGTTCTTCCTCTTCCCACTGCCCCTAGCACAGTACTGGTATGGAAATAACTGCCATTATCATGGGCTGGATGTTTGGCTACCTGACTGGAATAAAAACATTTTTTCTGGTTTAATGCCATCTGTCAAGTCTGGAAAATTTCATTTAGAACAGATGACACCCAAATATTAACAACACAGTGCTATATTAGAAACCAATGCAGCACCATCAGTTGCTTTGATCTAGGAGGCATGTAGAATGCTGTACTCTCCACTCTACTAGAGGACACTTGTTTCTTCCTCCTTGCCAAGGATCACAATGCATCCTTGCTTCACGTCACTTAGAAAGGTTTAGACACTATGGGCACCTATACACATTCCCAACACTTGCTCCAACATATTCTAATTAGGTTAATTTAATTAGCATGCTCCAGCAGCCTAGACATCATCCCTGTGCTTCAAAATGGCAGAGGGGGTGTGGTGCTTTAGCTAAAGCTCATCAAACAAGCTTTAGTTAAAGTGCCTCCACTGCCATTTTGAAGTGCAGGATGCTAAATACATGTGATGCTACAGGTGCTTCAATTAGAGTGGCTCCCAAAAGCTATTCTAATTAAAGCACTCTCCCTCCCCCCACCCTGAAGAACATGTGAAAACAGCCTTTCATGATCAGCAATTTAGCGTAAAAGGAAATGAAAAAGAATGAAGTTGATTTGAATTAATCAGCTCCAAGGTGCAGACTATTTCACCTTTTATTTGGCTTTTTGGGAGATGTTTGTAGGCCTTATTATATTACTAATTAAGACAAGCATTGACCAGTGTATATACAGCTCACGTAAAGACTCTTCTAAAGCACTGACCAAAACAGGAGGTGCGCACTGTGTGCCTATAAGATTGGATTGCCCATCTAATCCAAATTAGGCAGATGAGTTCATGCTGAACTGCCTGAAGCATGAAGAGTATTCTCCAGGGCACAGGTTCCCTGGAGAGACTGTTCTAAAGCAGTGGCTCCCAACCTGCAGACCTGCACAGGAGCATGACAGGGCAAACACAGCCAGCTGCATCCCTCCTGGGGCTGCCCCATTCCCCAGCTTTAACTCCACATGTCACTGCTGGCAGTGGAAACCGCTTGCTCGGGCAGACATATGGGGGTCTAAGTGTGGGGCTCGTGCCATGACCCAGCAGCCAACCCTTCGTGGCCTGGTATCAGGTCATGGCCTGGTGGTTGGGAACCTGAGTTCTAAAGCGTATGTTACATAAGAACGGGCACCTGTAAGTTCTTTAGGATGCAGGACAGACCAAAAATTAACTAATATTTTGTTTTGATAGTGGTGATTTGCATAGGCCAGTTAGAGATATTGTTGACATAGATAAACATCTGCTGAGTTCACCAGTGTCAATGTGTCTCTTGGTGAGATTGCAGTAAAAGTGAAAGCTAGATTGTCCACCTTCAACGTGACCATCCTGCTCAAGGGCTACATTGACTTAGACTCCTTTACGTCTTTCTCTTACTATGATGAGTTAATCATCAAGCAACTGGCACTTTTTGTCTTGAGAGATAAATTATGCTGTTTCTAACTGTAAGAGGTCTAAGATTTTCTTCAGGATGATTTTATGTTTTTTGTCCTTCTTGAGATGGTGTGGAATTGGAATGTGGATGAACCTGAAGTTTCTGCAAGTGCAGTACTATCTACTTTACTCACCTGTCTCCAACTGCTTGGAACCAGGTGACCACCTTACAGACAGACAGCAGCACTGAATATTTAAACTGGCATAAGGGGTTGGACCTACTCTTTGGCCAGGGTCTTCTTCTGATAGTCCAGGTTCATGGTCTCCCTTTGGAATAACAAAAGTCTCTCTGTACTTTTGATGTGGTAGGAACAAAAGCAGCTGGGTAGGTAGCAAAAGCTTATCTATGACCACAGCTGTCATCTTATCAAGATTCCACTTGAAAATCCTGAGGTAGAAAAGACTTTGCTCTGAATAGCCAACTGATATCCAGGGCTGAAACCAGAGTTGGCACCTGACCCCTGACTTTGCTGCTGTGGCACTCGCATCCAGTCTGTCTTATCAGTAAGACAATAGCTGGATGTTTTCTTTATTATTCAATTTGAATGTGTTATGGTTCTGGGATTTGAGACTTATTGGTCATTGTGCTAAAACACACTGGCATGTATTTCTTTAAAGGCAGAATAATTGAAATCCTAGATAAGCATGACTTCTATTTTCTTCTCTGCAGAAAATAACTTCTTCCAGCAGAAAATACTATGTTTTTTGCAGAGATGAATGAGCAGTAATTGGATGAGACTTACAATAGAAGGCAGAAGGATCTTTGGTTTCTCATACTGTGCAATATCCCTTGGTTTTGCTGGTTTTGATGATGTGGAGGTGTCTTTCAGTAAGCAAAAAATGGGGCTGGAAAATTTTGTTTTGTTTTGGACAGGAAGTCTTGGAAGACTCTTTGCCTCTCTCTCTTCCTGGATTGCTATGATGACTCTTATCCTCATTCCTCTGGTTTCTACCATGTCTGGAGGAAAAGAATGCCTTGTGCTTTGTTTGTAAGTTAGTGTGATCCAGAATCAAGAGTTCTCATGGAAAATGAAGTTGCTTTAGTGAGGTTTTGCTTCTTTTCCTGTCTTTTTTGTTGTTCATTGTGTGCAGGAGTGGGAGTGTGTGGGAGGGGGTTCTTTTCTTCTATCTGAAGCTTATTATAAAGGGATGTACCTACAAGTTTTTTTCTGAACATTAACAGCTAATGCTGTGCTCTTTTATGCACAGAAACTTACCATACATGCCAGCCTTGCTTTCAGCTTCATAGATCATAAATCTCATGCAGCACAAAATGCAAATATTACATCTCAGTAGCTAAAGGAGAAGCTGGAAATCTGTGTTAGAAAAAGATGTTTTCATCCTGGACTATTAACACTAATTTAAAAACAAATTCTGCAGTCACACAGCAAATAATGTAACTATGCATGTGACTTACCCACTGGCTGTTGGTCTGTCCCATTCATCATCACTCAACCCTGTGTCATGAAAAGGGTGGTTCCTTGACCTACTTGGAGGGGATAAACTGCCTCTTTGTTTTGGACTCCTCCATTCAAATGCATTGAAGTTGTATCCCGATGCCTGATAACTGGGTCCTAAAAATATAGTCATAATATGACTCCACGTCTTCAACCAACAATATTCAATAAATGCCTTCTTTTATGGCCTAGCTTTGCCAAGACCTGCACCTATGACTTGTAGGACAAAAAATGCTGGTATTTGTTTACAGTCACAATAAGTTTCATTGACTAAATCATGTTCTGATTTACTTGTGTTCAAAAAGGGGGGGCTCTTGTGAAAACTATATAAAAATCAGAGATTAAATATCTCTACAAATGAACCCTATTGTCCAAAATTGCGTCTCTGTCCCTAGACTGTATCTCAGTGTACTAGGCTGGCCATTCTTCAGTCCCTACATTAAACACTGTATGTTGAACATTAGCAAAAAATGTCTCAGCACTGCAGTGCAGTGTATGCTCTCATGAAATCATGCTGCCTCTATGCAACCAATCAATATGTCTGTCAGGAGAAATAAACCATGGATCATCTCCTGAGATGTCCTATAACACGACAATGCACCCCACAAGATTTGGCAACACCAACATCAGAAGCAGTGGCCTGTGCAGAATATTGGGAAGAGACCATATAGAAAGGTTGGACTGGAGACACATCGAAGAAGTGCAGGGTGCGGCTGCAATAGGCATTGAAGTCTAAACAAAATATGGTCATTCAAGATCCCTTTGAAGTTTTGACAAAAGGGGTTTAACCTCAGGGTTCTAACCAAACTCCATCTCAGGTAATTACATTCTGCCTACCTAAATTCCCTTGCATGAATAAGTATTATCATTCTTGCCCCAAAGTGACATGCAGTAACTACTGTGCTAGTTCCATTGCACTGGGGATCAAGTGTTCCCTTGGGTATGTTCTGTGTACTGGTTTAAACTTGGAAAGTGCTTTGAAATCCTTTGGGATGAAAGGCCCTATAAAACGTATATTCTAAGTATAATGTGATTTATTGAGGGAAAAGATTGGATTTCTCCACACTCTTGTAAAGGTCTTTGCCAAGGAACCTTTGACTTTTATGTGGGAAGTCACCAGCAGAAAGCAGAAAAGATCTGCCTCAGTTAAATGTGTTATCCTAAGCATGGCACCCCATCCCCAAGCCTCCCCGCTCACCCTAAATGGCAGTTAGACTGCTACCAACTGAGCACAATGAACTTTTCTGTCTCTGTTGTTGGCTGAGCAGAAAATTCTTCATGACTCTGCAGGCTAGAACTACTATATAGGTCTGGGGACTAAACAGTTTACAGTTTAGTATTTCAATAGCATTTTTTTCTAATAGAAGCAGAAGTGTGACCAGTTTTCCGTAAGAAGCCATGTGTGAGATGCATGTGCAGTTGCTTGTCAAACAAACTAAATTATAGCTGAACACTGAGCATTCTTCTCTCCATGAGGGAAATTAAATGACAGCAGCACAGTGCATTCTGGCACTCTGTCAGACTAACCTGCTTGTTCTCCTGAACTGAAATAGAGCAGCAAACATTCTTGCTTTTTCTAATGTAACACATCTTCATGCTATTAACAATGATTTTGACCTCCTAATTAGATAGAAAAATGAGTCAAAATAAATACCTAAACAAGTCTGATTAAATTTCAGAATAATTAGATCACTGAGGATTTAATTTAAAACAATCAGATTTGAGATGTTCAAAGGTTCAGCTGCAGATCTGTTGCTTTTCACTACAATGACCACTTTGCATTTATAAAACAGTTTTCATCTCAAAAGCTCAAAATGCCTTACACACAATAAATTCAGCTTCACAGTACTCTTAAGAATAGGATGTGTTTTATTATCCTCACTTTAATAAATGTGGGAATCTCAGGCACAAAAAGATGAAGCTATTTGCCAAAGGGATTTATCAAAGGTCACACTGCAAGTTTATGGTGGAGTTTAGAATAAAACCCAGCATTTC